GTGTGTTTAACTTGGCTGCTCTCCATTCATACGTCCACTGAGCTCCTTCACCTCCCTGAATCTCACATCTGACAGTGACTGTCTCACCGCTGTATATCTGAGTCCAGGATGGCTGCAGGGTCACAGTGGGCTTACTGGGAACTGTTCACAGAAAAATATCCAGTTAGACACAAATAGAAACATGAAGATAGAAAAAATAAGACGGAATAAATTCTTCTATTTGTCAGGAGTTGTCTCTCATCTCAGGGAACCCTCATGTGACCCTCGTGAAAAAAACCCATTTGGGTCCCTTTGGATTTTTGATTCTCAATATATCAGTCATTTTAAAGACTAGTTGCATGAAACTTGGCCGGGATGTGTGTTTTAGGATTATTTTTAAAATTCAATGATCCCTTCCATGGTGTGGTGCATAGTAATGGAGATTCACATAAGTGTTACCTCCTGTTACCCTTGTACCATTTTGGGCCCCATTGACTCCGATTATAATCACATATTTTCGATATACTGTAATCTTGACATGTGATAATGCTTTTCTCGTGAATACCTAATGGATCTAAGCCTCTGCCTTCAAAATAAAGGAAAAATAGGTTTTGGATCAAATGAGCACAATATTAGGCACAGCACCACCATAGACATTTTCAGTGGTTTTGAATGCAGGACATGGTTATCTTACCTTGCAATATACATAGTAATAATACAGCTAACCACCATAAAACAGTCTTGATGTAGTGGAACTGATATAAGAGAGTGGTGTGAATGTGATTAAGAATATAAATATACTGTGTGTGTGTGTGTGTGTGTGTGTGTGTGTGTGTGTGTGTGTGTGTGTGTGTGTGTGTGTGTGTCGGTCGCAAACAAAACGGCCCGTAGAGCCGCCTCCTTGAAGTGAACAACGGGAGCCTGCTCCGTTTTTTTTTCTCCTTTCTCTAAGCCTCTCTCACTGTTTTTTTGCTTCACTCTGCACATGAGCCTTGTGTTTGCTCTGAGCAGCGAGGGGACGGGTGCAAAAGCAGCCACGTGTTTGTTGAGCAGAGGAGGGAGGGGCGGTAGTTGCACTCCCAGTGGCACATCAACGGAGCCGGAGGGAGAGAGAGATCCTTCTCTATCTTATTGGATTCAAGTGCACATTTGAAGTCTGTGAGAATAGTTCGCAGCCTGGTCTTGCTAGTCATTACCAGCAGGACAGACGCCACGAAATGCACAGACGCGCGCACGCACAACAGAAGCGCACGGTCAATTTAGGGGAGGCTTGGAAGCAGCGCTCATCGTACAAACAGCGCATTATTATCGTAACTGCTGCAAATGGTAGGATATGTCCTGTCTGCAAAATCCATCCATCTAGAGCAGGGGTCAGCAACCTTTAACACCCAAAAAGCCATTTGGACCCAGTTTCCACGCTAAAGAAAACACTGGGAGCCGCAAATACTTTTTGACATCTAAAATGAAGATAACACTGTATATAT